CATTGTCTTACACCATTTACAATGAAGTTAGCTTTTTTTATTTTTAACATAGATGCCCTTTGTCAGGAAGTTCTTTTCTGTTCCCAGTTTGATGAATTTTGTCAAATGCTTTTTCTGCACCTATTAAGATGATCATGTGCTTTTGTCTCCTACTCTATTAGTATGGGGATATAATTATTTGATTTTCAGGGTTGCACCAATCTTTCTTTCTTGAAATAAATCCCACTTGGTGATGATGTATAATACTTTTTATATATTGCTGGATTTGGTTTGCTTGCATATTGTTAAGGATTTTTGTATCTGTAGTCTTAAGAGATATTGGTCTTAAGTATAATTATAATGTCTTTGTGTAATTTTTGGTAAGTGGGTAATACTGTTCACATAGAATGAATTAGGAAGCATGTCCTCCTAGGCTACTTATAAAGGAGAGTTTGTGAAGAATTGATATTTGACTTTTAAAATGTTTGATAGAATTCACTATTAAAGCTATCTGTATGGGGGGTAGTTTTAAAATTATTAATTCAGTCTCTTATTATATGTCTGTTCAGATTTTCATTTTCTTATTGAGTTAGTTTTGGTAGTATCTTTTTAGAAAGTTGTCAACGTCATTTGAATTATCTAATTAGTTGACATGCAGGTATTCATTGTGTTCCCTTATAAATCCTTTGTTTTTGTAAAATCAGTAATAATATCCATCTTTGATTCCTTATTTTAGTAACTTGATTATTCTTTCTTTTTAGCTTAGTTGGCATGCAGTTATTCATTGTGTTCCCTTATAAATCCTTTTTGTTTTTGTAAAATCAGTAATAATATCCATCTTTGATTCCTTATTTTAGTAACTTGATTATTCTTTCTTTTTAGCTTGTTCAGTCTAGCGAAAATTTTAACTTCTGGTTTCATTAATTTCCTCAATTATTTTTGTATTCTATTTCAATAATCTCTATTCTAGTATTTATCATTTCCTTTGTTCCATTTTCTTTGGGTGTAGTTTGCTGTTGTTTTTTTCCAGTGTCTTAAGGTGTAAGGATAGATTACTGATTTGAGATGTTTCTTCTTTTTTAATGTAGGCATTTATAGCATGTCAACTCTCTAAGCACTGCTCTAGCTGCATCCTATAGTTGTGGTATCTTGTACCTTCAATTGCTTTCATCTCAGTATTCTCTAATTCTTTTTATCCAGTTACCTGTTCATTGCATAAATACCTTTTTACACTACTTCTGACAAATGGACATTACCCTTTTGCTTAAATAATTACTTTGAGGAAAATTCACTACTTTGTAACATAGCCAACTCATTTTTAAACACCTCAATGTATCCAGCAATTTCCTGTAAAACTCTGCCTGTTGTCCTAGGTTGTTTCTTTTGAACTTGCTCCAAATTAGCCTAATTCTTCTTAGAATAGTTCTCTAAATATATAAACATTATTTTCACTTCTCTAAATCTTTCTTAAATCTTTCTTTCAAGCTAATCATACCTCATACTATAAACTATTCCTTAAATTGAAGGCATTATTAACATGTCTTTCATAATCTGTTTACCCCCTTTTTAAAATTAGTAATTCTTTTAAATTTGATGTCTCAAAGTGGACATTAGTGCTCTAGAACAGGAGTCAGCAACCTCCTATAAAGGCCAGAAGCAAGTATTGTAGATTTTGAGGGCTAGTCAGTGTTTGTCACAACTAGCTTAACTCTGTTATTTTAATGTGAAACTGCCATATGCAATATTTAAATAATAGGTATGACTGTGTTCCAAAAAAAATTATATTTACAAAAACAGGTGTCCACGCCAGATTTTGCCCACGGATCATAATTTGCTGACTCCTGCTTTAGAGGTTCTCTAACCAGTGCAGAACCTAGTGTGATTGTATCTTCACTTGTGAATGCTATTGTATTAATTTATTTTGAAAATTATATTAAAATATTCTGAGAGGATGTTATTGAATATTCTTGTGGGTTTTTTTCTCTAAAGGTAAGTGTTTTTCTCTGGCTTGTTTCAATATTTTTTCTTCATCTTTAGTTTTCTGAAGTTTAAATATTATATGCCTAAGTGTAGGATTTTGTTTTGTTTTGTTTTGCATTTTTCCTTCTCTGTGTTCCCTGAGTTTTCTGGATTTGTGGTTTGGTGTCTGACGTGAATTTGAGGATTTTTTAGTCATTATTGCTTCTATTCCTTCTCTATCTTCTTCTGGTATTCCCATTACATAAACTGCATGTATGTTATACCTTTTGTAGTTGTTTTCCTAGTTCTTGGATATTCTGTTCTGTTATTTCCATCTTTTTTCTCTTTGTTTTTCAGTTTTAGAAGTTTCTACTGACTGTCCTTACTCTCAGAGACTTTTTTCCTCAACCATGTCCAGTCTCCTAATGAGTCCATCAAAGGTATTCTTCATTTCTTTTACAGTGTTTTTTGATATCTAGAATTTCTGTTTTATTATTTCTTAGACTTTCCATCTCTCTGCTTACACTTGGAGAAAAATTGCTGATATTTAATGTGAGAACATGGTAGAGCTTCTGGAACTAAAATTCACAACAGTGCGAGGACCCCTTCCCCCCATGGCTAGGTTCTTCTGGAGTTTTTAATTCTCAGAGTTGTCCACACTGAGTCTCCAGCAACTTGAGAATTACCATTCAGATTTTCCTATCCCAGTCCAGCTTCCCATGGAGGTTTCTGCTCTGGTAAATTGTGATTCTTTAACTTTATGTCTCCAATTTGAGGAGCAGGGATTTGCCCTGTGACCTCATTTCTCTGATGGATTCTCTGAGAAATACTGATTTCTCAGTTTGTTCAGGTTTTTACTTGGTGTTAAGAGGGAATAGTAACTTCTAAGCTCCTTAAATGCTGGACCAGAAACCAGGTATTTTCATCTATGAATTTTCTTCTATAAAGTTTTATATTTTTCATTTAGGTCTTTAATTCATTATGACTTAATTTTTGTATTACATGTGAGATATGGATCAAGACTGATTTTTTTTCTTTTTGCATAAAGCTATCCAATTATTTGTGGAACAGATAATCCTTTCTCCATTAAATTGCTTTTACTTTTATATACTTGACCATGTATGTGTGGGTCTATTTTGGACTCTAGTCTATTCTAGTGTTCTATCTGTTTTTATCCTTTCTCAATACCAATCTGAATTGATTACTCTAATTTTGTAGTAAATCTGGAAATGGGTTATGTGAGAACTCTTACTTTGTTTTTGGTTTGACTTTTCTGTTTTCTTTGCTTCTCCATATAAATTTTAGAATCACTTTGTCAATTTCTATAAAAAGAGAAGTCCTGCAAGGATTTTGTTTGGAATTGTACTGAATATATAGAGCATTTTGGGAACAGTTGCAGAGCACATTGGGGAAACATCTTAAAATACTGAGTTTTTCAATTCATTCAGTAAACATGGGATTATCTCTTGGTTTGACTAGGTAATCTTTGATTTCCTTTATCAATGTTTTATACTTTTTGCATACAGATCTTATACATCATTTTTAAGATTTTTACCCAAGTAAAATATGAATATTTTGGGGTGCTACCATAAATACATTATTTTAAAGATTAAAGGAGTTCCCTCTGTTGCTAGTTATCGCAGAGATTTTTTAATCATGATTGATTGTTGAGTTTTGTCAAGTCTTATTTCTGTATCTGTTGAGGTGGCCATTTGCTTTTTCTCCCTTAGTTTGTTGATATGGTGAATTGCATTAATTAATTTTTTAATGTTGAATTATTCTTGCATTCCCAAAATAAATCCAACTTGGCTACCTGTTATTTTATGTATTATTTGATTTCTTTTCTTTTTTTTTTTTTTTGAGGATTTTTGCATCTATTTTATAAGGGGTACTGATCTGTCATTTTCTTTAGTATATCTTTATTTATTTGGGGTACCATGATAGGCTTCATCAAATGAGCTGGGAAATATTTCTTGTTTTTCTACATTTCTCAAAGTTTTTTATAGGATTGGTATTATTTTTCTGTAAATGTTTGGTAGAATTCACCATGGTGTCATCTCAGCCTGTAGATTTCTGTGTTGCAAGGTTGTTAACTACATAGTCAATTTTCAAAGTAAATTTAAGATTATGCAAATTACCTTTTTTAAGATAAACTTTGGCAGTTTATATACTTCAAAGGATATGATGATTTCATCTAAGTTATTAAACTTAGGACATAGAGTAGTTTATTTTATTTCTCTGTTATTAGTTTAGTATCTACAGGATCTATAGTAGTGTTCTGTTTTTCATTCCTGATATTTGTAACTTTTGTCTATTTTTTAAATCAGTCTCGCCAGAGTTTTACCAATTTTTAAAATCAATAATAGTTACTATAAATGCTCATTATGTATCATATACCTTTTAAAGAGCTTTATTTATATTCTAAGCATCTATAAAATATTTTTCTTTGTTATCTCCTTTTATAGATGGATGTATTAAAGACTATGTTATGAAATATGCCTGCTATACATTAGCCAGAATGACAAATCCAAGATTCAAATCCAAGTCTAGATGACACCAAAGACTTTGCTTTTGACCACTCTGCTTTATTGACTGGTATAAAGGATGAATTAAAATCAGATAAGCCATATGAAGGGAATCCTCCGTGGCTGGGAGCAAACTTTTCATTTTCATCATTGGACTGTAGTATCTACTGTTCTCTGTCTTTGAACCCTTCAATATACAGTGCAAAACCTCTTGTCATAAGATCTGTGGAGATCTGTTTGCTCCTTCTAAAGGTTTAAACCACTACTATCAAGGAGAGACAGAAAATTTGAAGACTTCTGGTTGCCACAGATACTCAACAATACCTATTAGATTTTCAGAATATAGGATATGCCAAGATCTTCCACTGACAGCCTGAAATAGTTGTCCTGATGCCATCCGTTTTTGGTAGACTACAAATGAAAGCCTTGACTCCATGCCCTTTCCTTCCCTTTAAAATGTAGGCATTTGTTTCCTTTCATAGGTATAAGATAATGCTTTTGAAAATAAAAGCTGACACAGCTTGTTTATTTCCTTAGGTCTGACAGTAACTGCTGTAAAAGACTCAGGAGAATGGAATTTGGAGGCTGGGGCATTAGTGCTTGCAGATGCAGGCCTTTGCTGTATCGATGAGTTTAATAGCCTCAAAGAGCATGATAGAACCAGTATCCATGAAGCAATGGAGCAGCAAACCATAAGTGTCGCTAAGGCTGGGTAAGAGTTTCTTTTCTTTAAAATCTGTGGGAGTCATGAGATTAGTTAATGTATGGTTATGGGAAAAATAGGAACCTTATTGATCTGTAAGGTATGTTTGACCCTCTTAGGCACTGTCCGTTACCACACTTAAAGACACATATTAATTTTCTCTTGGAGGTGAGGGAAGGAAGTAAAAATGAGTTGTTGGGAAAAAGGGAAAGCTACAGTGTAAATGTAAGTTGATTTATTTTTTTTTCTTTAGAAGAAAGCTTTCAGAACACTTTTTTAAAACTCTTTTTAAAAAGATTTTATTTATTTATTTTTTAGAGAGGGGAAGGGAGGGAGAAAGAGAGGGAGAGAAACATCAATATGTGGTTGCCTCTTGTGTGCCTCCAGGCCTGCAACCCAGGCATATGCCCTGACTGGGAATCAAACTAGCGACCCTTCGGTTCACAGACTGGCACTCAATCTAGTGAACCACATCAGCCAAGGCGAATGTAAATTGATTTAATTCGTGGAGGGGACTTATGAAGAGCTTTCAATGCAGAATTCAAACCATTGTCTCATTCAGTATTCATGTATCTACTCCGGGTATATTATGATGTTAGGAATTTTGAAATATTTGAAAAGAAAAAAAACATAATATCTGCTTTCAATGGCATTCCCCTTATATATTTTTTTCCTAATATATCTTAATGGAAGTTTCATCACAGCAGATGGAAAACTAATAATATATTAGCATAAGATGAAGTACCTGTTGTGACTCAGGGAGGCTCAGGGGTTGAGGTGTGTGAATCGCTGGCCACATATGACCAATGAGAGAAAAAAATAGGTAGGCTCAGATAGAAATCCAGGTCCTAATGTGGTTATGGGAAACATATTGGCTACAAAGGCTGACTATTAAGCAGGCTGCCAGGTTATCCAAGCAAAGGACAGAAGCAGAACTATCTTAGCCCTAATGCTACTATTACAGATCTCATTCAATGCTGAGGCCAACTGATCAGGCAGATAGGGCTGCCAGCAGAGTCTTCAAACAGTAATGGTTGCACGGGAGCCAGGCAGATACTGGTGTTAATAGATTATGTGAGAGCTATTATATACACTCACAAAAAAGGAAAGGTGGAGAGCAAAGGAAAGGTAAAAGCAAGCTATAACACAGAAGAAAAAGATACAAGAAAAACTAGACAGAACTATTTTCAGATCTAATCATTTCATTCAATATATATTCACTCAGTAGGAATTTATCAAGAGCCTGCTGTATACCAGGCTCTGTGCTAGACATTGGGAGATACAAAGATGAATGCAACACTGTCCTTGAGGTGTTCACTATTTAGTTGGGAAAGACAGATACAAGAGCACCAAAGTGATAAGTCCAAAAGTGTCATGAGAGAACGTACTTTAAAATAATTAATGCTTCAAACCTACTTAGCAGGAAAAATCAGATAATACTATACTAAGTGTCTTCAAAGCTACTTTCTCTTCTGATTATGTCTTCATTTAATTAGTATCATTGCTAGTAGGTAGACTCTATGGTTTATTTTGATATATAACTTTTCCAGAGGAAATCTGGGACATTTTGAAAGAATTCTAAACAATTACTCCTGGCATAAGGGAAAATTGGGACACATGCTATTGAGTGTATTTTAGAAAGGGAGAACATTGGCAGTGCTATGTGACAGGCTACAGAATAAATCTTTGTAAGTGAAAATACTGTAACCACTGCTGTTGCCTTTACCCTCTGTACGTATGTATGAATCTTCCCTCCATAAGTGTGTTGTAAGTTCCAAAAGAAATGTTCCTGCAGATAAACAGTTCGCTTGCTGCACCCTCTGTTTGGACAATCTTGTCATAACTATAACTACTTTATGCACTGGAACAAGGCTTTTCACACTATTTATGGTGAAGGGCTAGTTTTAATGCTTATTTTTCAATTTATCACAGAGCAATATTTTTATAAAATAGAATGTTATTTTTAAAATAAAATAAAAAAGCAAAGAGATATAAAATATAAGCCTAAGTTCTTTATCCACTTAGAATGGAGAAAGCAGTAAGGGCATGTCACTCCCATTCCAACAAGAAAAATCCAGCTAGCCTGCAAAAATCATAACTTTCTTTGAGCTTATTAGAGAGTTGAGTTTACAGGGAAGTCAAGGGAACTTAATTCCAAAGTGTGACAAGCCCTTCCAAGGAGAGGTGAGGCACGTAACTGTCACAGCACATGAGAAGAAGAGGTGGCTGCCATTGAAACAAATAAGAGAAATAACTAAAATTTATTTTAAATTCCCTGAAGTCCACATGTGGGCTTGCATATCAGTTTAAAATAACCAAGATCTCCAAATATAGGGGGGTTTCTCACTTTCAAGCGCTTCTCCACTGGTCTCCCCCAGATGCTCACAAGAAAAATTGGGCAGAGCAGAAGATCAGAGACCTTGCCCTGCCCTCATCAGCCCCACAAGCCTGAGAGATGATTGCTGCTGGGCAATAGGCAAAAAGCCCTGCTGCTTCCGCAGACACATCGCTCAGAGGGAGCAAATACCTGAAATCACTGGGGTAGGGCAACAAACCTTGTCATTCCCAGGGCCTCTAGGGGAAGAGTAGAGGCAAAAAACCCCTCTGCCTCGGGAGGAGGTTAGAGAGTCTTCCTCCCGCCCTGTAGGAGCCAGGCAAAAAGATGCTGCTTCTGGTAGACCCCAAGACATTACAGGAAATAAAACTGCAGACCAGTATGCCCTGTGAATGCAGGCACGAAAATTCTTACCAGTTCTTTAGTAAATAAATCTAGCAGTGTATAAAAAGGATTATACATTATAACCAGGTGGGGCTTATCTCAGGAATGCAGAGTTGCTATAACATTTGAAAGCAATCAATATAATTCACAATATTAACAGAATAAGAAAGAAAAACCTATCATCCCAATAAATGCAGGAAAGTTGCAATTTGACAGAATTGTATTTAATTAGATAAAACTAAATGCCCACTCATGATAAAAATTCACCGCAAACCAGAAGAGAAGTCCCTCCCTCTGTTTAAATGTTAACAAGAAACATTTCATACTTAATGGTGAAAGACTGAAAGCTTTCCACTTGAGATTGGGAGCAAGTAAAAAATATATCCAGTCTTTTCCCTTCTGGTAAGAATTGTAATGGAAGTACTAGTCAGTTTGGTAAGGCCAAAAATGGGAAGAAGAAAGGGGGAGGGAGAGAGGGAGGAAGTAAGGGTGAGAGGGAGGAAGGGAGGGAGGGAGGAAGTCAAATCAGAAAGATAGAAGTTAAAATTGTCTATATTTTATATGACATGATCATCTACCTAGGAAATCTGAAAGAATCTATTTAAAATGTACTAGGATTCAAGGCTGATGTATAAAAAGTCATTGTTTTTCTGTATGCTAGCAATGAACAATTGTAAACCAAAATAAAATACGTTATATAACAGTATCCAAAAACATGAAATATTTAGGGATAAAGTTAGCAAAGTACTTTCTAGATTTTTATAGTAAAAACTATAGACCACTGATGACAGAAATTAAAGAGACCTAATAAAGATCTCTTGAAAATGGAAAGATAGATTGAGTTTCATTGATCAGAAGACTTAATATTAAAGATTTAAGTTTTCCCCAAAGCAATCTATAGAATCAATGCAATTTCAATTAAAATCCCAACAAGCTTTTTTTGCAGAAATTGACAAGCTGATTTTAAGTCATACATGGAAAAGCACAGGAACTAGAATAGCCAAAACAATTTTACCAGAGAATAAGTTTGGAGGACTTTCTTTATTTCAAGATTTAGTATAAAGCTACAATAATCAAGGCAGTGTAGCATTGATATATGGATAAACATGGATCAATGGGAGAGAATATAGGTCCAGAAATAGAACCAAAGTTATAATAAAGTCAGTTGATTTTCAAGAATGATGCCAAGATAATTCAGTGGAAAAAGAATGGTCATTTCCAAAAAATGGTGCTGGTACTTAGATAACCATTTACAAAAATGACCTGTATATAAACACCTTTACAGCTTTATTCATAATCACCCAAGATTGCAAACAACCCAAAATCCGTCATATGGTGAATGGATAAACATGTTTTGATAGATCCATACAATGGAATATAAATATAAATAAGCAATATAAAGGAACAAACTATTGATACATTCAACAACATGGATGAATCTTAAAAGCACTATGTGAGGTGAAAGATGCCAAAAATAAAAGACTACATAGTTTATGACTCCATTTATATGAAATTCTAGAAGAAGCAAAATTATAATGAGAGAAATCAGATGAGTGATTGCCAAGGTCGGGGAAGGAGATTGGCTGCAGAGGAACACCTTTAAAAAAGTTGAATTTTACTGTATATAAATTATATCACAAAAATCCTTAATTTTAAAAATATGTAAATTCATATATTTTATTTTTATATTCAACAGACATGAACTCACTCTGTCAAATAGCTATTGGAGTTTGTGAACATGTACTGTCTCTGTGCTCATCTCTTCCCTGACTGGTAGAAACATGCGAACAGGCACAAGCTCGCGGCCCAGGCCACGAGCCCTGATGGTGATTTGCAGAGTAAGACACCACATAAAGGTAGATGGAGAGAGTATGGAAAGGGATAACAGTGCCAGGGAGACCAACGCCTTTATCATCAGTAAAACCTTTTTCATTGCAGTGACATCTTCCTAGGGAAATTATTTATTTAAAAAATAATTTTCAGATTGGACTCTGTTGGAAAAGGAGAGGACTTTTACATCGAGGAGACAGATTTTGCTACTCCTGTTTACAGTTTGTTTTTCAGTGTTTTTCCTTTAAACCACTGATCCTATGTATAACAAGTAGTGAAAGGAGATTGACCAGAGAAGCACCTTGAGTGCTTTGATGTAATGAACTTTTCTCCGGGGCTTCTGGTTTAGACCATTGCACCCTGATAGGCGTTGATAGTTTTGTTATTATTATGCTAAACATTTATATGATTATCTTTTCAAGATAAAATTCTTCAAATGTTTCTCTTTTTTTGTCTTGCC